GCAAGAATAACTATAGCAATGCCAACAGCAGCAGCAGCAACAGCAACAGCAGCAACAGCAGCAGCAGCAATAGTAATAGTTGTAGCAGCATCAGCAGCAGCAGCAGCAGCAACAACAACAACAGCACCAACAACAACAACAACAACAACAACAGCAGCAGCAGCAGCAGCACATCATCCCAGCTAAATCTCTACACAACCGCTATATCATCCGCCTACATCACACTCACGTACGCACCCACGCACGCGAGCATGCACGCACGCACGCACGCGTGCATGCACGCACGCACGCACGCACGCACACACACACACACACACACACACACACACACACACACACCCACACACACACGGCCCGCTCACCACACCCTCCGCCATATATCGAGTCCGATATTCCATATGCTTCGCCCAGGCCCGTGCATATGCCGCGCATGGATTCTCCGCACTCATTTATTGCACGCCGCCCGTAACACTCGCCCCCGTGCGTACATTCAGCCCCCGGGGACACCCGCTGAATGGTCACGCCCGACAATGGTCCGTCGACCCTAATTGCTGGTGTCGATGCTTCGACGCACAGTGGCCGACCGCCACCCCATGCCTTGAGACAAATTGGATTTGCCGCGGCACGGGGGGAGAAATATCGCGAAGGCTCACCCTGCACTCGCTACGGGGGGCGCCAAAGTCAGTTTCGGCGATACTCTGTGGACATCTCGTGACGCGTTAACGCTGGAACAATGGCGCGCCGTCGGCGGCCGATAGGCGGTTATTCAGCCGACCGACCTCGGCGCAGTTATAGTCGGCATTGATATCAGCGGCAACGCTTCCCGCCAGGCCAGCCCCAGCACGCACAATTGAGCTTGTTATACTGATACTATTATTACACCATTGGCGGCGCGTTGAACGGGGGGACCCGGCCGCGCGGGTGGCTTTCAGAGCCGAGTGGGGACATTTTCACTCCTCATTTGACAGTAATCGCGCGCATTACTGTTCATCTGCGTGGGTTTCACGACAGCATTGTGTCGCTGCAAGGTTCGAACGGCGGGGCTAAACAACGGGGGCATTTAACTGCACCCCGAGCTACCGGCGACGTCACAGCACGCACACTACGCGCGCACACTGCTGGCAGTTGCTGCACGGATTCACACGAAAACTGGCGTCGCGGCCACATAGAAAACGCAGCGCGGCTACAATTTATTTACGTTTACTACCCACGGAGAATATAAAAAGACCCCACACCAACATCTACCCCCCACACACCACCCACCCAGCCGCCCTTCCACCCCTCACCACCAGTCACCAACATTCATCCTCACCCAAACATCAAACCATTCTTTTGTTCATGCATTATACAGATTTTTATAGCATTTATATGCATTTTTCATGCAATTAACCATGCATTATATATATATATACATATCCAATTTAAAAAAATACTAATTAAATCCTACACTTACCTGTCCATCTCTGCGATTTCTGTCCGCACTGCCACCGTTGTTAGAATCCCTGTTGTACGATGAGTGATGTCCACCTCCCCTGTGTCCTCCCTGCGATCCCCTGTCCCAGGAAGAGTCCTGTTGCCAGCGCGTGTCTGTAAAACAACGTATAGTCGTGGGTGCGGGGTGCCTGTGGGCAATGCTGCTGTCTTATTCGGTTGTTTTGGCATGACCACGCGTCGCGGTGGGCCCGCTTACTAGGGGATGCTAGCCTGGAGGCAGAGGTCTCGCTGTTACGAATGCACACACAAAACTACAAGGTTTTACACTGAGAGTATAAGAGCAAACATTAGGTGTAGGGCATTGTAATGACTATGATAATTCTGTCAGAGAACTGATACTGGGATATATTATCCGTCCTCGCTCACATGCACGCCCACGCACGCACACACACACACATACACATGCACGCACGCGCGTACACGCAAGCACACCCACACGCATACGTATATGCATGTACACACAATTGCATACACACGCGCGCACGCATGCACGCACGCACGCACTGTGGCACACACGTACACACGCACGAAAACAACAGGATGTTTATCACGTACATTGTGACCTATGATGTCATTTTGGAACGCACCACAAACACACGTGCGTCATCAGCGCCATTAAAAATTTCCCCAAACGCTCCTAGACGGATTCCACGAGCTGCAAACGCCACAGCAATTCGTGGGCGGCGACAGGGCCAGGCTACGCAACGTTGCTGTAGTAATGCCAGCAGTTCATTTTCGAGTCGCCCTGACATCTTATGTTTAGTGATTGTGAGCGACATAGGTGGTGGAGGTACGTGAGTGTCGGCGGGCATACCTTGGTTTGTCTGATATCTGGGTGGTACCATTCCTGCAGGATGACTCGGCATGCCCATCAGGGACGGGGCCGTGCCCATTAAAGATCTGGGCCCGCCCTGCCTGCAAAGTAAACATCGGCTGATAAAGGGTGACTAGAATTCCTCCGCGGTCAATTCACGTCCACTCAATGTCCGGCGCGGGTGAGCGTCGAGTCTGACTAAGTCAACACGACACGAACGCGTGAGAAATGTATCGAAAAGCTATGCCAATAAAATCTGTAACGCTTGCTGTTTAATTGTGTGACGCGACAAAAGGTGCTCTGTAAATTGATGAACATGTTGTATGCAAAAACTAACAAAGTTTGTTTGTTACGGGTGACACTACTGTGGGAGAGTAGACTCACACACTGACACGTAGGTACGTAATAATGTGAAGATACTAAACGTTAATTACCGGAAGAATAATAACACCACGAAAATTAAAAATAGGTGTCGTTTAAATATTTAAATGGCCATCGTACTCAGGTTTGCAAAGCAGGCTGCATGCAACTCTACAACACCGTGAAATTCTCAGCTCGTTTCCACAGTAACGTACCCATTGGAATGAAAGTGTCAATGACACTATAGCTCACACTGGGTGTGATAGAAGATGGTAAGTGTTTCATTTATGACGGACCAAAATGTGATCAAATGTCCTTATTCCCCGTTTTATACTAATAGAAATGTCACAGTTTTGTTTCAGGGTTAGTTTTGATGCAAAAATAAACGTTTCAGATCTGAAAGTCTGAAATCTGGGCGAGAGATGGCGCTACGTCTAAATGATCGCCATTTTGGTTTTCGATTATCGCGCAAATAAAAACAATAAAATATTCCAGTCAAATTACTGTAACGAAGAATCTAAAACTAGGTATTACACATAGGTATGATTAGGTAGGTGTGTAGGTAGGTAGGTAGGCAAATTTAACAAAATCGAATGAATCTAGATGGCCATTTTCATTTTTGCCAAAAAGTGAACGTGGCTCCAAAGTAGGTCGACTGGCGTGCTCCAAAATAGGACGTTCAAATCTCTCCCATAGGAGTAACAACTGTATGCAATTTGAAACATGTGGGTCAAACGGTGCTTGAGTTATCGTTGACCGTAGCCAAATGTTGACGGACAGACAGACGGACGGACGTACGACGGACGACACACCTTGGCAATAGCTCATCTTGACGATGTCAAGGTGAGCTAAAAATTGTGCAAACTAACTGCCACACAGCAATAATAATCAAAGAAAGGAGAGCTAACATACGTACTAGCATAATTTCCCAGGCCTGACATTCCAAGCAGTAAAACGAGCATTCTGCCAACTACCACGATATACCCAAAACCCATATAAATTGGAATCGACCTCTGCGTGAAAATTCGGTTGGACAGAAAGCATTCTTGAGAGATTCGGACGTCCGTTGCGAAAATCGCGAAAGAAATTGCATGCGTAAGTTAATCTCGCTTTCAAGTAAAATCGGGCTTTTTCGAGCGAAATTGAAACTCCTTTTCTATGCCAACAATATTACCATAGATACGAAACGAAGCCTATCCTCACAGAAATTGTCACGCCCGCAGTATTACAATATCGCAAAACAGTAAGAGGCCATCAAATAAATTCAGAGCAAAGAGTCCAGCGCGGCGGTAAACACAAGTCTGTCTTCCGACTGGCGCCATATTGAAATTTATTTTGGGTGATCATGAGCAGAGAAATCATTCTTATAGTCATACTATAGGGAATAAATAATTGGCAATAATAATAATAGTAATGACGGGTAATAATAGGTAATAATAGGTAATCCTGTTATTTACTCCTAATATTATCAGCGACGTTTGGTGAAATCGGATTCGATTTATTTACCACACTATATATATATATATCCGTTCTACGACAATGCACCATGCGATGCGCACTTAGACTCACTCAATCAAATATAACGCGTGTATATAATATATCGCTCAAAAATCGCCAAAAAAAATCGTCTATTTTAAGTCAGAAACCGCTATCACGCGAATTTCGTCATCACGAAGAACATCCCGTTATTTTTTTATATAATACAACAACACTCGCAGTAACTACATCTACTAGTAGTCGGTTAATAGGGTGCTCTAAAGGCGCGCTCTGCACCACAGCATGCCATCTGCGCTCTGTTTCCTCTAATTCGAGGTATACGGCTCGCAACGTTTCGTCGGAAAATACATGAAGATTTTCAGCAAGTTTTCACCGAGAGCACACGAAAAACGTGCGCGCCGAGAGCAACTGTCACTTAGTCGCATATAGAAATCGCGGAAAGCCCGTTTAACCATCTGAATGCTGCACGTATGCAGTCGTGCTTTGCTTATATCCGTCACAACACCCCTCTCTGCAGGGCGATGCACCACACGACTCGGCCACAACACACGAGGAAGGGGAGGGAGAGCTAGTGGTAGAAGACGATGAAAAATATGACGAAGATAATAAAATAAAAAAAGAAGAAAAAGATGATGATGATGATGATGATGATGAAGAAGGAAAAGATGATGATGATGATAAGGAAGAAGAACAGCTGGAGCAGGAGTAGGAAGAGGAGGAGGAGGAAGAGCAAGAGGAGCAGGAGGAGGAGACTGCCAAAGCCCACATCAAACGCCAACTCCATGAAGGGTGGATATCTCAGATCTCAAACAGGAGGACCTCTTCTTCAATAAGGTCACAACAGCAAGACCCAAAGAAATCCCTAAAACGATGGCGAGATCAGACGAGGTTCTCGTCCAACAGCTACGAACTGGAAAGTCACCCATTTTCTTCATCTTCATTTTCTTCTTCTTTTTTCTCTTTGTCTTCTTACGTATTTCGCCGCCTTATTCGTCGTCACCATCTTGTTCTCTTCCTCCGCCTCCTCCTCCTTCTCCTCTCTCTTTCTCTCTCTCTCTCTGTAGTCTGCTCTCCCAGTGGCTGTGATGTGGAGCGTCACAGTTCAGGTGCGGCCAGGCGGCCTATCCTCTCAACGAACTTTAGCACTTTGGTGGGGTCGTCATTGAGAAGCTCTAAGATGTATTTTGAGTCACACACTTCATTTCGTTGTTTTCCGTATATCGGACAGCATAGTAGGTGTTCCACTGTCTCTTTTTCATCACACCCCGCCAGACACTTCCCCTTATCGTCAGGTAGGGATTTGTATCTGGCTAAGCAATGGGCAGCCAGGGAGCAAGAAAAAAAAGAAAAGAAGACGACGACTAAGACGAAGAAATATTTAGTGACGACCGTCTCTTGAGAACGCCGCCAGCGTCAGCCAAACGGCAATCCGTCCTCGCGGCGAATCTCGCGTGCGCGCAAACCGCCGTGACAGGTGCCTTTTTATCCCCGCCACTCGAACGCACGGCGAGTAGACGCGCTTTGTTGTGCAGCCACTGCGCTAGCTCCCCCTCCTCCTCCTTTTCCTCCTCCCGTCCACCTCCTCC